AAATATATTCTTCATCCCCTCTTCGATCGATTTGAGGAAAAAATTTTTGTGCACACGATAGCCTTTCTGAGTTATACAACAAATAATCGAAAAAATAATGATTTTTAATATTTTTCCATCATTTCGACGGGGGGCCAATGAGTTTCGAATCGAGAAATATATTCTTCATCCCCTCTTCGATTGATTTGAGGAAAAAATTTTTGTGCACACGATAGCCTTTCTGAGTTATACAACAAATAATCGAAAAAATAATGATTTTTAATATTTTTCCATCATTTCGACGGGGGGTCAATGAGTTTCGAATCGAGAAATATATTCTTCATCCCCTCTCCGACCGATTTGAAAAAAAAAATTGTGCACACGATAGCCTTTCTGAGTTATACAACAAATAATCGAAAAAATAATGATTTTTAATATTTTTTCATCATTTTGACAGGGGGCCAATTAGTTTCGAATCGGGAAATATATTCTTCATCCCCTCTTCGACCGATTTGAGGATAACATTTTTGTGCACACGATAGCCTTTCTGAGTTATACAAGAAATAATCGAAAAAATAATGATTTTCAATATTTTTTCATCATTTTGACGGGGGGGGGGGGCAATGAAATCCGAATCAGGAAATATATTCTCTATCTCTTCCTTGACCGATTTGAGCAAGAAAACTTTGTGCACACGATAGCCTTTCTGAGTCATACAACAAATAATCGAAAAAAAAATGATTTTTGATATTTTTCCATCATTTCGACGGGGGGCCAATGAGTTTCGATTCGAGAAATGAATTCTTCATCCTCTCTCCGACCGATTTGTGGAAAAAAATTTTGTGCACACGATAGCCTTTCTGAGTTATACAACAAATAATCGAAAAAATAATGATTTTTAATATTTTTCCATTATTTCGACGGGGGGCCAATAAGCTTCGAATCGAGAAATAAATTCTTCATCCCCTCTTCGACCGATTCGAGGAAAAAATTTTTGTGCACACGATAGCCTTTCTGAGTTATACAACAAATAAACGAAAAAATAATGATTTTTAATATTTTTCCATCATTTCGACGGGGGGCCAATGGAATCCGAATCGAGAAATATATTCTCTATATCCTCCTTGACCGATTTGAGCAAGAAAACTTCGTGCACACGATAGCCTTTCTGAGTTATACAACAAATAATCGAAAAAATAATGATTTTTAATATTTTTCCATCATTTCGACGGGGGGCCAATGAGTTTCGAATCGAGAAATATATTCTCCATCCCCTCTTCGACCGATTCGAAGAAAAAATTTTTGTGCACACGATAGCCTTTCTGAGTTATACAAGAAATAATCGAAAAAATAATGATTTTTAATATTTTTCCATCATTTCGACGGGGGGCCAATGAGTTTCGAATCGAGAAATATATTCTTCATCCCCTCTTCGACCGATTTGGAAAAAAAAACTTCGTGCACACGATAGCCTTTCTGAGTTATACAACAAATAATCGAAAAAAATAATGATTTTTAATATTTTTCCATCATTTCGACGGGGGGGCCAATGAAATCCGAATCGTGAAATATATTCTCTATATCCTTCTTGACCGATTTGAGGAAGAAAACTTTGTGCACACGATAGCCTTTCTGAGTTATACAACAAATAATCGAAAAAATAATTATTTTTCATATTTTTTCATCATTTTGACGGGGGGCCAATGAGTTTCGAATCAAGAAATATAATCTCTATTCCATCCTTGATCGATTCGAGAAAGAAAACTTTGTGCACACGATAGTCTTTCTGAGTTATACAACGAATAATCGAAAAAATAATGATTTTTAATATTTTTTCATCATTTTGACGGGGGGCCAATGAGTTTCGAATCAGGAAATATAGTTCTCATCCTTTCCCTGATCACTTTGAGAAGGAAAACTCCGTGCACACTATAGAGCCTTTCTGAGTTATACAACAAATATTTGCAAAAATAATGATTTTTAATATTTTCTTATCATAATGAGTTCAGAGTCAGGCAGTATATCTCATTTTTTATATCCGATCGATATGTATTTCAATTCGATATAATATGGTTGAAAATATTACAAGAATTCTCGTGTATACGATCGTCTATTGGATTAAAATGGCTGCTATCATTCCTTCGTGCATCTTCTTTCTTTGGGCGCACGGTACATAATCGAGCATCTCTGGCGAAGTGGCTGCCAACTGCGGCTGCTGTTTTCACACAAATAAAATAAGTTGGGTTTACTCAATAAAAAAATTTCGTAACGGCATCTGTTATCAAAATACAAGGTGTTGAAAAAATGATTTTTTTACACATTTTTCTAGATTATGTCGAAACTACTGGCAACATTGTGATGACATTTTGTAAGGATGTATCTTGGAATCCGACACATCGCATGCATTTGTCTTTATATCTGACTCTCATAGAGGGCGCTAGTTACACGGTTCGTACCGAGTAGTTTTGAACAAAACTTTCTTGAGGTTAGATTTTTCAATGCAAATTTGATGTGAACTCGAACATCATTCAATTTCACACCAAAAAGGTACTCTTGGTAAAACTCGATACTGTGTTCCGTTCCCGGAATATTTCGATTTGAAAATGATGTGATAACTGTTGCTGGTATAAAGCTATGCATTAGAGTGAATATTATGAAAAATTATCACCTATTTATTGGAAACCAAAAACAACAATACGTTTCTGATGCTGAACTTATTGTTTTAACAATGAATCACAAGAATAACATCGAAACAGATTTGACTAAGAACATGGATTACACAGTTTTGTAATATCTTGAGCAGAAAATCTATGCTACATAGGTAAATCCACGTCAAGAGTTGTAAGACATAATTGAACATCACTTAAATGACCTAACAGCTGATCCTCAACTGTTTAGAAGAATAATACATTCTCAAGAAAAGAATATAGACTCGTGTATTGGTCGAAACGTAGGACATTTTGAACACTTACTCTAACTGATTCAATATTTCATGTTTCTAGTCAAATATCTCTTGATTTTTTAATTATGATTCTTTGTTCCATCAATAAAAGAATAATTTTATTGTTTTTGAATCTGAATAAATGGGTAATTGAACTCAATAAAATTAATTTTATGCCAGCATCATAACTACTCCATTATTCACGAAGAGAGAAACTCAAAGTCATTACCACAACAAGTTCATAAAATGAACTACAAAATGAACTTGTTGTGGTAATGACTTTGAGTTTCTCTCTTCGTGACCAATGCATTCCACTTTGAGTATTTGGCTTTTTCCCTAGTTACTCCATTATTTTCAAATCGAAATATTCCGAAAACGGAACATAGTATCGAGTTTCACCAAGAGTACCTTTTTGGTGTGAAATTGGATTACGTTCAAGTTCATCATATTTGTATTGAAGAATCTAACCTCAAAAAAGTTATGTTCAAAACTACTCGGTACGAACCGAGTAACTAGCGCCCTCTATGCGAGTCAGATATAAAAACAAATTCATGCGATGTGTCAGATTTCAAGAAACATCCATGCAAAATTTCATCACAATGTTTCCAGTAGTTTCGACATAATCTTGAAAAATGTGTAAAAACATCATTTTTTCAACACCTTGTATCATGAAAACGGAGGCCGTTAAGACATTTTTTCACTGAGCAAACCCAACTTATTTTGCAGTGTTCTACCTACTCTAGCAAGGGGGTCAGGTTTTTTTGAAACACCCTGTATAAAATGAACAACGATGGATTAAGATGACTGGAGAAAAACAACAACTTTCCTGGCTGAAGCCACGCAGAACATTGCATTACATCCTCCTGAAATTACATTCCTACACAATTTTGAGTAGAAGGTGGTTATACAAGGTGATCATTGATTTAAAGTAGGAAAAATGTAAAAAATGTACCAAAATGGATCCTTGTGGAACGCCGGAATTGATGGCGATGGTATCAGACAATTCACCGTCCACCACCACGTGGACTGAATTGCCTGAAAAAGAAACTCGATAAAAGAGATGGCATAGATAAGTTGGTAAATAAGCCGTATGATGGTAGTTTGTGAAGGTAAACGATTGCAGATGATTAGTTATCATAATTAATTATTTACGTGAGATTCAGTAATTTATATATCAAAACAATAATACTATGAATACAATTATTCATTTAAGATTGGTACCAACATTTCCGACGACGACGCGCCCTTTCAATCTCGCATCCCTATGCACGTGCAGGCCTCATGGATAATCCGCCTCTGCCTCTGAGGAGAGATGATGTGATTGGTTGTTATCAAAAGAATGACTGGTTGATGTCATTGGTGGCGAATTGCTACCTAGAGTTAGAGGTATTTCAATTACGAATTCAGGTTCAATTTGAAATTATTCGAACTGTATTTGGTGGGGGCAGGCCGTTGACTGATTCTCCGTATTATTATATAGATCAGGCTAAAAATATTGTTTTGAAATCGTTCTATCCGTCATTCGGTTGCCCCCTTACGAGCAGCCCTCAGAAGTCTTAGAGATTTTGTGCGAGCAAGGAATGACGGGGCCCTAACCTTCCAACGTGTGATCCCAAACACTTTCTTGTGTCATCAGAAAAATGTCTGCAGTCGCGGGGAATCGAACCCACCACCAGCAGGCGAATGCGGATTAGAAATCTGACACTCTGTCCGCACGGCTACCTGCACCCTCGGCTGTACATATAGATCTGACAACGCGGGTTAATTGTACCGGGCCCTGGGGAATACTTCAAAAAAGTGAAACAGCGATATCGTCATAGGTTTCATAGGAGTTATCACGGGGCCAATGGGTAATTATATAGGAAAACTCACGAACCGTTATTGATATAGGGTCAGTGAAATTATGTCATACTTGCGCGAGAACTACTAGGTATATTATGTAGGTGTGATGAAAAATATGTCGGAAGTTGTAAAATGCCAACATTTCATTGTTAAGTACAGTTCAACCCCACTGCGTGGAATGATCAAATATCATGTTGACTTGATATTCACACATATTATTTTTCATATTTTTTTCCAGTGTATGAAACTTCCGTCGAAGATGACATCAGAGGAGATGAATCAGGAACTTTGCAGAGATTATTAGTTTCACTCTCAACAGTGAGTATCTATAGATATATTAACATCGTACAATGGCGCTGAACGGATATAAGAAAATCAAACATTTTTTACGTCGAAGATTATAGTTGCATGATTATTCCAACAGCTTTCGCTGATGCAAGAAAAAGTGACAGAAGATATGGTGATGACAAATGTTGCATCAGCTGTTAGTTGAAAATTGAACCACTATGAGAAAACAGCACTTGCGATAGTCTACAGAATTCTGAAATGGTATTTTTTTGTAAGCATGTAGAAATGTTTGTTGAATCTACTTATACACATTTGTACTTGAGCCACACTAGATGGATATGAAGGCTAAACCGTCCTTGTGCAGCGTCAGGGCTTCTATTCCATTTGTACCATATGCATATGCATTGTCTTTGATGAGCCTAATGATGTATACCCAGCAAACATTGGCCTCAATATTGGCAATTTTCAATGGTGAATTGCAAAAGTTGCCCACTGACCGACTTAACGCCAATGTTGGCAAAGCAGTACTTTCATTTATTGCTTATTTATTGTTAGGTTAGTGATGACTGAATGACGTATTTTCAGAGCATTCCCAATGGAAGTTAATTGGTTTATTCTTACACAGAATTTTGGGGTTATGTATGGAAAATATTATACCACTGATAATAATAATGATGATGATAATAATTACTACCATTATAAAACGTCTCGTAGTCAGTTGTACAGGGTGTCCCGAAATTAGCCTGCAAACTTCACCAGCGGCTTCTAAGATCAAAAATAGTGAGAAGAGTTTCAATGAACATGAGACGAGAAATGGTTTTTAAGGGAGCCAAGGCCCCCAGAGAGGGGGCTCCTGAAGATGATATCTTGTGAATATTTCCGATACTCCTTGTGATAAAAAGATGCAATTCAGTAGTAGAACTAAATATTCCATTCCCAATGCAGTGAAAATAAAATCATTGCAAAATGGTGGGACTACATTAAATATGTCTCAAACTTTTTAGTATGCATATTTTTCGTCAATTTGATCTCCGCAGTTCAGTGCCTTCGTACATATTGGGCTCTGTAATTTTTTTATATTCATTTTTCTAGGGAAATCGGGATGAATCGAATAGTGTCGACAGAAATGCTGCAATCGCAGATGCACAAGAGTTGTACGATGCTGGTGAGAATGCTTGGGGCACAGAAGAGTCCACATTCAATGCAATTCTATGCTTGAGGAGCAGGAGACAGCTCAAACTGGTATTTGATGAATACGAGACAATGATTGGTCACCTCATTGAAGAGGCTATAGAGAATGAATTCTCTGGTAAATTAATTCTTTTTCAACAAAAAAGTTGACACTACGTGTTTCAGTCCACAATGTCATAGTTTGATATCTTCATATAATATCGCTGGTAAAAAAACTGAAAAATTGTTAATACATTTTCGTCGATATCTACATTTTTATAGGAAACTTCTACGTACCACCATTTTTGAATAGTAGCTTCAGTACTTCCTCAAACTGTGCTTCAATTAATAATATTTAAATCTTTTTGACTAGGTATAGGATAGGTTCTTTTGGTGTTTTGGATATAGGTATAATCATGTTCATTAAGCTATAGTCTGGCGCGTAAAAGATGAAAGGCAGAAAGAATGTAAATCCAGAGCACTATATAAATGTTTTTCTACTCACATAACTAAAGTGGCATAATCACGGATTGTCAATCTGTGATTTATTCAAAAAATTAACCACGTTACCATGGCGACACAATTTCTCAAACACATTACCATGGCAACAGAGTTCTAAACCTTCAGTCATTCGAGTCCTGCCCGGTCAGTCAATTGTAGGAACTGTCAACTGTCATTTTCAAATTTTGTTGCCATTAGAATTATTCAGACAATTTTTGTGAGTATCAGAATTCTTCTTCAAAAATGTATGCGAAATATAGACGAATGTCAAATTGAAGAGAATGTCTTAGGTAGATATACTTGCATATCTCCAAGAACTTTAGGTAAAACTAAAGATTTCCTCTTCGTGGGCGATTCATTTCATGCTGAGCATGACAATGAACGTGAAACACGATATTTATTTGAGCAAAATCATGCGATCAGAATATGGATAAGAATCTGAGAGATCGAAAACTTTGACGCCTCAGCGATTTGAGAGATAAGATTTCCACAAAATTCTCAAACACACGACATGTTTCGCTAACATAGTAGCTTCGTCAGGTGATATATACTGGTACGATCGTATATATATTTTTATAATAGTTCAGTTATACAGGGTGTCGCTACAAGGTCTGAACAAATTCTTAGCACACAGTCCTGAGGTCAAAACAAGCTGATTTGAACCAACTCACTTTTGTCCGAAATTCCTCCGTTTCCGAGATACAGGGTGGTTAATTTGAATAATGGAAATGAACAAGTACTCACCCCCAAAAAAAGTATTTTGGAGAATCCATTTTTGCGCATCTCATTCACTGACCAAATCACATCCACAAAGAACAGCAAGCATGAATTTTTTATTTTAAATAAATCGAATATTCCGGTGCGGCATATCGGACAGTTGAAACCGAAATATCTCGAAATCCGCTTACTTCAGCTAATTTTCACAAGCGTACCTTAAGTGAAAAAGTTATGGCACTTCAAAACCATAAGAAGTGCATTGGTGAGCAGCATCTGACGGCTTCATTTTTTAATAATGAGTGATTACAGGAATGAAATGAGTACGCCACTATGTTATACGTATAAATTTATATATAGCCCTGTCCTCATCCTGTCGATGAGTTGTAAAGTAACCAAGATACGGGAGGTGCTGAAAAAGTGAAATTTTCAACTTTGCCCTGAATCTCGGAAACATGTAGGACTGTGAAAATCTTGTTTGCGGCATTATTCGTTTCACAAAAAAGGAAGGCACCAACGTGGAAACCGCAACGGCAACACTCTATCTCCGAATATAACTGAGATATCGCGCAGAAGCATCTGAAATAGGACACACTGTGCTTCTGGTGGTTACTAGTTTTAAGAAATTGAGGTAACTTCAATAACAAGATACCGCTTCCAAAATGGAAATCGATCGCAAAATTTTATACAAGTTCAAGTACAATATTTGGAAGTGTGTAAGGAAAACATTGAAAAATTGAACTACCTATATTCATATGTTTTTTATCAATGAGATTTCAGTAAAATTTCACATCATTTGACAATCTTCTTGGACTATCGAAAATTGAGATGGTTATAAAACACAAAATCCGAAAGATTATTTAGGGAAACATCTTTCGGACAATTATGTGTCCATCATCATCTTTAACCCTTACAAACCAAAGGTCCTATAATATTATACAAGTTAATCATTCCCACGTGAGTAAATTCTCTATTACATATATATTTTTCATGATCAACTTGTATCATATTATAGGACTTTTGGTTTGTTAGGATTAAGGCTGATGATGGACACATGACTGTCCGAAACATGTTTCCCTTAATAATGTTCCGGTTTTTAAACGTTGTGGAGATGATTTTGTGTTTTCTAACCCTCTCATCACTACACTCCACTTAGAGAAAATTATGGACTTCTACGCATAAGGCTATCGAAAATTGATTATTTTTCTCTTATAATTCTATAGATACTTTCTTCTGTCATCAATTTTTCTCAACAAATCCAAACCAAGAAAATATACGTGTATATTGAACATTGGTTCTGTTTTTAGGAACAACTAAAGATGGCCTTTTGGGTCTGATAATGTGTATAAGAGATAGACCCATGTACTTGGCTACAAGATTACATGACGCAATGGCTGGTATGGGAACTGACGACAGGACCCTGATAAGAATCATAGTATCAAGATCCGAAATCGATTTAGAAGAAATCAAGAATTCCTACGAAGCCAAATATAGTAAAAGTTTATCGGAAAGAGTATCGGTAAGATATTTTGGAAATACCTGTCTATTAAATAAACAATTATCAACTCACAATATAAGCTCCATTGTATTGACACTATATAGCGCTTGCTTACATTTCTTACTAATATCTATTTGTTTTTTATTTTCTTATCGTTTATTTTTAGAGTGATACGTCTGGAGATTACTCGAAAGTCCTACTGGCATTGATAGGTCATTAACGTATGTATCTATAATCGCATAAAAATAATAATGTTGTGTTTTGTGGTGTTGGTGATGAATGTTTTATGTTCAAATATAAATAAACTGCAATATTCTGCTCTTTCCATAGGACGGTGTGTTGGTGCATCATTAAATAAGATTTATTTTGAAAATCTCGAAGTTTCGAAAATAATATCTCGGAATTTCGTAGATAGGAAATTATTTTCAAAAATCTTGAAATTCTGAGAAAATAAGCTCCAAAATTTGATACAATGATCTCGACATTTTGAGAATATAATCTGGACTCTGGAGAATTTGAGAACATACTCCCGAAATGTTGAGAATATAATCTCGAAATTTTGAGAAAATAATCTCAAACTTTTGAGAATATAATCTGAAAATTTTGAGAATTTAATATCGAAATCCTGAGGATGAAATCCCGAAATTCCAGATCGAAATCTCAACATTTTTTTGGTCTTCTTAGATCTCCCCCGAATTTAAACTCGTTCGGGTTCCACAATATTCAATGCCAATTGCACAGCTTCCTGGTTCAACTCTTCAAACTTAATGTGGAGAAATTTCAAGTGCATCCATCCGTTTCCATGTAATTTGCCCTCGACTTTGCCTGATATGGCCATTTGTTCTCTTGATAAAAAAAGTTGAATTTTCAGCACTAGTCGAGTTTTCTCTTCGGAACAAAATGTAAACGTCGTTTCAATAACGTTTTCTTGCTGATTTTTATGTTGTCATATTCTAAGTACTTATTTCAAGATTTCTTGATAGTGTAACATATGATAAAAAATATTGTTTATCAGCATGTATTTCCAATTTGCAAAACCCAGGTGCTTGTTAGATCATTGGTAGTCAACCCGCCCAGACTCTAACTCAATGAGTTTATGTTCAGAATCAGAGATGCTAGAAAAATTTCGCAATTTTTTTTCCAAAATATCGAGTTTTGTCTTATCAAAATTTTGAGATATTTTGTTATAAAACTTAAATCATATTCTCAAAATTTTGAGGTTTATTTTTTTTTTCATGTGTCACCAACACATCGTCTTATTTTCAACTTATACAGAGTGTATGCAAATTCTCGGATGTGAAAGAACAAATCAAATTATTGTGGAAACATTCTGGGAAACGGGAAAACACAAGCGATAAGATTTCCACAAGATTCCCAAACACACAACATGTTTCGCTAACACAGTAGCTTCGTCAGGTGATATACTGGTACAATGAACTACAACTACATTTGCGAATACATAATCACGACCTTATTTGAAAAAATGAAGTTGATGATGGTTCTATGAATACGAAACTTCAAGTAGTCGAATCAATTTATATCACCACGTTCTGTGTATCTCGAATAATAACGCAGAATAAAAAATGATTTTCCGAAAATTCACTTTTTGACTGAAAAACTAAAACACATTTTGAAAATTCTCGAAGGCTGATGTTGACGGTATGACCCTCTGAATGTGCATTTTTTTCCCCATTTAACCGAACTTGTATCTCCCACATGAGAAAATCGGTCATAAAATATTGAATTGGATATTCCCGTTTTTTTCAATTGCATTTTTCCATGCACATTGTTCATGATTCAATGCATATTCTATGTTGGAATCGGTTTCACCCGAAAATGGTGTATTTGATCGAAATGAAATCATCAGAATGTTAGCTTTCGCTGCCAGTATGTGCACAGAAATTCATAAATTTCAAAATAGAACAGATCGAAAAGAATGGATACCTTGCAAGTAGACTGTATTCTTAAAAAAAAATTAAACGAAGAATTACCGTTTTTCCATTTGTGATAGATAGGTATTTTGTATTTTGCAAGGATGATTTCCCATATATATTTTCTGAGACACTCTGTATATGAATACAACAAATCGATGTAAATTTTGCAAATCATCTGCTTATTTCTAATTTGTACGAATACTTGGATCTATTTTTTTTTTCAGGATGACGTATCATCAGACTTCAAGAGAATACTCGTTGCCTTGATTGGATAAATATATTATTGTGAGCTTCAAGATGTCGAATTATTTAAAATGGCTACAAGTGTTTCTCGAAGATTTTCTATTTATTTTTTGTTATAGTATTACCATAGATACTCAGGTACTACACTAAGTGTTTTTCTGTTTCAATAAAAAGCTTATCGCGATATTTCAAATTTTGTTGGGTACAGGAATGAAAGTTCCATATATATGTAGCTACACCCAAAGAATATATTCAAGTATGAGTGTTAGTGATTACAATATTTTCATTCCAATATCAATGTTAAAAAGAATATATTTTTCAAACTGTGATTCTTTCAGATTTTCACCATATTGATGTGTTTCATACTTTTTTGTAACTCCAATATAATTTCACTATTAAAAATATATTCCAGGTATGATGGATGAAGTAATATAATATGGTTCATCTTTTTTGTGACATCGTACCATTTATTCTCTACATATATATTTATATTATAACAATATTATATTTATTTTAATATATAGTTATTCTACAAGCCTATTGCGATAATTTCAGAGTGAAAATATTTATAGATATAATATCTTTGGTATTTATATAGTTTTCAATAAAAATGATTCTGTTGAAAGATATGTTTTTTTTGGATCTTAAAGGTACACGGAAAATATATTAGATTTTAGCTCTCGGATTTTTGTCTCTCTCGCCGCATCGCCGTCTGGAGACAAAACTAAACCTTGAGGTGAATATCTAATACTTCTTCCTTGCATAACAAATTTTCTAATTTTCGACAAAAAAACAAAATTCTGAAAGACATTATGATCTTCAAAAATAGTCTGGAAATTCTGTGAATCATTGATAGGATGTTTATTGCCGAACCCAAGATTGGCTTCCAGCGAGGACAGAAGCACCAGAAATTCCAATGATTTCGGAGTTCAATATCGGAAGTTCAATATATGATATATCGTCTTTATGTCTCATACAGCAGACCATAGTTCATTCATCTCTCCGATTTTGGAAACACCTTGTGGGTACATATTCATTCAAACAAGTCACGAAATTTCATTGTTTTTAGTTCGAGTCTTGATATATCCACAACAAAAATCACATTTATGTTCAACATTTTCATCACACATCGATACATATACCCTTTCATCCCATACAACACATGGACATCCGATGAATGTCCATAGGATATCCATTCAGGATATTTTGGATATCCAATGGACATCCAAATAACGTCCAATGGATATCCCATGGACGTCCAATGGATGTCCTGAGGCCACCAACTTGTACGTCCATAGGATATCCTTCACGGACGTCCATAAAATATCCTTCAATGACGTCTATAGAACATCGTTCAAGAACGTCCATACGATATCCTTCATGGACGTCCATAAGATATCCCTTATGTTTTCATGGGTGTTCATATAGGATGTCCTATGGACATCCAGGTTGGCGGACTAGGATATCCATTGGTCGTCCATAGGATATCCTTTGGATACTATTTAGATGTCCATTTCCATGATCCCTGAATTAATTTCCAGATGACATTCGGATGTCCATGATTTGATTTCATGGTTTGAAATATTATGATAATGGTTCACTGGGTATGATAATGAACAATAATTATAATAATAATATTTAATAAAGAATGAAATTAAACATTACCTGCAATATATTGATCACAAAAAAAATTAAATCCTTTATTGTGGGAAGGGACAAATAACTTAATATAATGTATACAGTGCGTCCATAGAAGTATAACGCATAAATTCTATATCTCTGTGATACAATATTTGCGAAAAAGCCTCAGACAGGATGATACGTATTTGAGAAAAATCTGAGTTGACAGTTTTTTCGAATGAAAACACCTGTATTTTATTGCATTTCATGATTCTCCCTGAAGAGCTCATTTGATCGATGTTTCACGCACTTGGGGTCTTGTAGGTGAAAACTCGAGATTTCTCAACTTATTCAGGAATTTTTTGTGTCGAAACTATTCATTATTGCTCAAAACGGATTTCATATACCTATACATATATCTTAACTTTTCATTTACTATCAATTGATATTCAATTTAAACAGATACAGGGTTGTGCAGAATTCTGAATTACCCTGTATTTGTTTCAATTAAAGGTCAGTAGATAGTAAATCAAGAGTTGAGATAGGGACATAAAAGCCGTTTTGACCAATAACGAATAGTTTAGACACAAAACATTCCTGAAGTTCACCTACAATATCTCTGTAATCATTTCTGCTAGACCCCAAGTGTGATACATCGATCAAATCAGCTCTTCAGGGAGAATCGTGAAATGCAATAAAATACAGGTTAGGTTAGGTTAGGTTTTGAACAAGGAAAGGATAGGACGTTACCCATATAGTTGTTATTAAATATATGGGACCCACATGGACATCCAAAATATGTTTGGTGAGTCCGACACTGCCGACTTTGTCGACATCTCTATGTTATTCTGGGCGTTATTGTTCAACGACGTGGTTCAATGCTCCAATACAGGATATCCCATGGATATCCATTGGATATCCAAGAAGACGTTGAAAAATTCCATATTCGATATATTATATATTTCCTAGTAATATAACTATGTACACACATAGATTTGAATTTTCATCAATTTAATTCATATTCACAATTTATTACATTGATTATATCCGCGCGGGTGAATTTTGGATATCCTATGGATATCCAAAAAGGTCCAAGGATATCCCGACATGAATTGGACATGATTTGGACGTCCATAGGATATCCCATGTTGTATGGGATATACCTACGCCCTAGGAGGATTTTTTTTTGTCGAGGTGGTTCAAATCCTTTATGGACACCATATGGGTCCTATCCCCCATATGGAAGTGTGGGACTCCCCTGACTCTAGCCAGGGTTTACCCACTAAAAACTCCACCCCGTTTGTAGGCTCGTCTGACCATGTCTCCGACGACACTTAGGCCTATGGTGGCCCATTGTATTCTTACCTAATGTTCTTTATTGTGTCCACTCCATTATCTCTATTCCTTGAACAAGTCGGTACAAATCCTCCACTGGATGTGAGTTGAATATTTCTGGTTCGCCAACTGGCTGCCCAAAGATCTTCTGTCTTCTGCGGTCCAATAATGCCTCACATCGGCACAGTATATGTGCTACTGTTTCTGGTTCCTTGCCACATAGTCTGCAGCTTGGGTCGCCATTGTACAGTCCCATTCTGGCGAGATGCTCCTTTTACTGGCGCATGGCCAGTCATGAGTCCCGTAACAGTTTTTATCTGTGCTCTGTTCAAGTTGAGCAGGTCTACAGTTCGTTTATGACTTGGTTCCTCAATGTATTGTTTCCCATGTCTGTTTCTTGGGATGTTTTTCCAGTAGGTAGCTCTTATGTTTTGCCTGAATCCACTCTTTAACTCACACTGTCGTGCTGTACGTTTTGGTACTCCAAGAGTCTGTCCTGGATCTGGCTCGTTGTCCGACGCTCTTCTTGCAAGTTCGTCAGCCTTCTCATTGCCAGAGAGCCCCTGATGACCTGGCACCCAGATAAGCTTGACGCAGTTCTGGTCTGCCCGAGTTCTCAGTTCCCTCTTGCAATCCCATACCAGTCGAGATGTCACTTCCTGGCTTTCTATTGCCTTAAGTGCCGCTTGACTGTCTGACATAATACGGATCTGCTCGTTTTCCACAGCTCACCTGTTATTTTCTTCCGCACATTGGAGAATTGCGTACACGTCTGCTTGGAAAACTGAAGCGTACTTCCCCAATGAGTAGCTGAGGCTAGTTTCCGGATGTTTGGACTATACTCCTGCTCCTGACCCATTCGCAGTCTTGGACCCGTCTGTATACCAGATCTTTCCCTGCAGTATGGTGCTGAGTTCTTCGTCATTCCATTCAGATCTGTTTGGTATGGACACGACTCTGAACGAAGTGTCAAATATATATATATATCGTTTCGCAATGTGATCTGTTATCATATTAAGTATGTCCCTGTTCACTATTCTGACGATGCTCATATGTCCTGTTCCTATATATGTTAACATTGCCCAGCGTATTTTGCAGTCTTAGGGCACCAAGTCTCGCCTTTCCCTGTATCATCAAGTGGAGGGAAGGCAGATCCAATAGTGTTTCCATGGCTGCGGTTGGCGTTGACTTCATAGCCCCCGTGATTCCTAGACATGCAAGTCTTTGTATCTTGCTCAGTCTTGTTATAGCTCCTCTTTGTAGCGTCTTCTGCCACCATACCAGAGAGGCATATGTTATGGAAGGCATATCACCACCTTGTTATACAACCAGTACAGCATGTTTGGTCTCAGTCCCCATTTCTTTCAAAATACAAAGAATGATACAGGAATGATTTTCCCCAAATTTGAAGGCAATTATATTGCCCCCCGTGTTCAGATGTCGGCAACAAATTCCTTCATAGCAAGTGTAAAAAAATTGGTAATAATAATGTTTAAACTTCGGTTAATTGAGTACAAATATGGCAAATGTACTGAAAAGTGCACTAGAACGGCAACACTGTTCGAAAGCTGACTATAAGAACGACAATACGGCGATAGACTTTCCTAATTGGCTGGAAAATAAGGTTATCATCCAGCATTTCTGGAATTCTACACCTCTATAGAACAACTTGAAACAGTATTTGATTAATCAATTTTTCTAGTCCCTCTAATTTTTTACTATTTGCTTCTATTTTTCCCATTAATCTGAAGCAAAATTGTTCTAACTTTCTGAGTTTTCTCTGGATATCATCTTCGATTGTTTGAGTTTTTACCTTATGATTGTATAAATTTGATTCAACAGATCTGTGAAATCGACGACTTTCGTATTAATGTTTGGATATTTACTCCGAACTGCAGCTTTTGAATTGGTTTCCATCTCGGGCACTATCTCGTTGGGTTTCACCTCGAAATGTTCGAGAAGTTTAATCAATTGCTCTTGGGTCAAATTCTGCAGGTGCTTCATCACCATCTTTGCACAATTTCAAATGGTTCTCTGTCTGCAAATTGAACTAATAAGCGATTATCACTAGAACTATGAGTTTATATTCCAGCAATAAATTATAATATATTTCAAACCCGTCAAAATACTGATGACTTTTCTTGTCATCACCTTTCAAATACCTGATATCTTTAGGGTCATAATGACGGTTTATGTAGAGGACCCACAGTCTCATACAACAGCAACTTTTAATATTATACCTAACCTTAATTTCGGAAACAGCATGCCTTTTCTCTAGAAAAGCCGATCTCACTGTGCCCCACATAAGCATGTCAGGAGTAACCATACCTTTGAAGGCATCAATTTCGATGCTTGGTATTACTATCAGCAATAACCTCTCTTGAGAAAATCACGTGAGATCAATTGCTAAAAGTGCTTCCCAAAAACTAGTTTTTTGTTCGGGCTATCCGTCTCGTGGGTGATGTCTCGCTCACAAACTCATACTCACTTCTCTGGAACACAGTAGAAAAGTTGGCGATCTGGCTCTGATTTATAGATATTTTCATGGACGATGCTCTTCTGAAATTTAAGGAGAACACCAATTCCTACCTTATTTCTCTTGGTTCTCACGATGTTCTCTGAACATTACAGGATATCCCTTTTCGTGGGAAACAGAACATATGAAAAAAAAAC